TCGGAAAATACTGGAGATATCCGCTTCGTTCTATCACTTTTGTGCTTTGAAACCACAGTACTCAACAGCAGGTCACTTGGTGCTTCTTTGCTTGGTGTACTTATCCATGGGTCAGGTCAAATGAGGTCAACTGAGGTCAAATGACGTTTTTGCCAATAACTTGGCACATAATGACGCTAGAGCTTAAAAAATGGTACCATTGTGTTCCTGGTGATCAGCCGAATCGAATGATATGCGATATGATGCAATTTGGTTAACTTTAACTTAATTTATTAATTTAAGTTTACTTAAAATTTAAGAAAAACTTTAAGTACACTTAAGCAAGATAAAAAGTATATCATTCGACGCGCCTTGACGTGCTGAGTTCACTGGTGCTTTTCTTTTTGCTCTATCTTAATTAGATCAAAAGTTATAAGCGAAAAACTTTTGACCTGTTTTTAGCGAAATTTTTACATTTATAGCCCCCAAAACCCCCCTAAATATTGACCTAGAGCAACCAAATTTGCACAGGGGCGAGAACTCCAGGGTGCCCACCTACCTGCCGAATTTGGTGTTTCTAGGTGCCATAGGAGCCAATCGCGAGGGGGGGGTCGCATCGACCCCCCCCCCCTGCCAGGCCGTGTTATGAAAAATGCCCTGCCAGGGCGAGGGTTAAACACTATCCACTACCTACCGGTGCAGCCATTCGAGTTGCGCACTTGATGTCAAAGTCTGTTATAAGCGGCGTCAACATGCGATATGCCGTCCTATAGTGGAACTATTGGCGGCGAGCCCGAGCGAGGAGGTTTGCTGAGCGCTGCAGTGAACGATGGGCAGCCGGCCCCGCGGACGGTGTCCGTGAAATACAGACCTTGGTCACGAGCTGAACCAGTTCAGCAGTTCAGTCTCATTTATCATGTTACAAACCTATCAGGTTGTGATGTATGAGATAGCCGCATTGACTTGTGTTCATGCCACTGGTGACGAACGAAAAAAAAATAGGAAAATGTGTTAGCGATGACGTCAGAGATAACTTCCTCGGAGATAAATGGTAGTGGTCCCTACTCTCTAATACCTTGTAGTAATGTACAGGTCTCGCGGGTTTTAGCGGCAGGTTTTGCACCTATGAAATTTAGTAAACTTCAGGCTATATCTTGGTCGTCTTAACCCTCGCCGGCCGAGGGGTGGGGGGCGGATGCCACCCTTCCCCATAGTTTTTTTTCGCGATAGCTCCGAACACGCTGGCGATAGAGAGCTGAAACGTGGCGTACCTGATTTTTGATTCAAGCCGGATCTTTTGACACCAGCCGCATTTTCAGGTCAGGTCAGGTCACTGACCTATGACGTCATAAGTGAACCTCTGCACGGTCTTCAGATGCCCCAACTTTGCAACGCCCTCACTGCCAGAGGAGCTTTCACAGGGAAATGAAACTTGCAGGATCTAATATCCATTAAGAGTCTCACAATTTGTAGGTATATCTCGGATTTTTCCTAAAGGTCATATGAGGTCAGGTCATTTTCGTGACCTCACCATTACCTAAAGTCAATGGGGAAAAATGAAAACTGCTATTCTGGCGCCGGGAATGATCTCCAACTATCTCAAGCACACAGAATCGTGATTTGATGCACTCCTTGCAAGGTCACATGCGTCACTCCTGCAATGTTGACCTTGCGTGACGTCATTTATGACGTCATTAGGGTCATATTAGTTTTTCGTCAATAACTCCCGATCAAACTGAGATAGCGAGTCGGGAAAGCACCAATGGACTCAGGAAGACCTGCCGAATCGAATGATATGCAATATGACCTCCTTTGACCAGCATCCTGACCTGGGGGCGCTGACCTGACCGTGACCTGAGGTCAACACCCTAAGTTGACCTGACCCAAACAAAAAGTATATCATTCGACGCGCCTGAGCAAGGCGAACACGATGCATCCAAAGTCGTGGCTCTGCGGCCGTTTTTTGCGAAGTTATTCACCAAAAACGGAACCGTACCTTGGGGCTTAACCTGACCTTAGAGGTCACCGGTTGACCTAGGACCTTAACCCTCGCACGACCAGGCCATTTCTCATAACACGAACGACCAGGGGGGGGGGTTGTTACGACCCCCCCCCCTGGCGTTTCGAAACGGAAGGTCGTAGAGCTTAGCGGAAAAAACCAACGGATTGCTCTCAACGAGATCTCGCGATTGGTGGTATATTTTTTGGTCCTAGGTCAACATTTGACCTACTTTTGACCGGTCAGAGGTCAAATTTTCGGAAAAATAGACTTTTTTCAACTTTCGGTGGCGATTGCGGCAAAACGGTGGGAGATATCGACTTGAAACCTTCATTATCGTGTTCCTTGATCAATTCTCTATCGTTTGGTATGTATTTCGTTTCCCTTGCTCTAAAAATGGCGCGTTGGGAGCGCCGGAAGTCGGCAAGGTCACAGTCGGCGGCAGAAATTCGAAAAATCAAAATTTAAATTTTTGAAATCTGATTGTATTTTTGGATTTGGGAGGTCCTTTTGCTCCCTATAGAAGCTAATATTGCTGCATATTCCCATTGAGGTGACAAGAATTAGCAAAATAGTGGTTCGGGCGCTTTTCAAAAATAGTACCGGACGCTGTTCCTCTTGTGACGTCATAGCTCCGTGACCTGACCTGACCCGGTCAAATTTCTTATACCATATGATAGCCAATACTTGCCCCAACATGCATGGGAAGTTTCATCACGATCCATCAACCGATGTCCGTACCACCGGCAGGAAACCTCGGGCGTTGGCACTCAGTTTGTGAAAATCCGGCCGGAGGCTGTACCTCTTATGACGTCATAACTCCGTGACCTGACATGACCCGATCAATTTGTTTTCGGCAAAAGATGCGCAAAGGTTGCCCCAGAGGGTATTAAAAATTTCAGCCCGCTGCGACAAGCCGTTTAGCGTGCACTTCCAAAAAACCTCAGGGGGGGGGGTTGATACAACCCCCCCCCCTAGGCGTTCTAGGGTTAAAATCGGGTATCAATCTCTGTCTCTTGTAACGGTGCACACGTTCGTTTTTTTCCACGACGCGCCTAGCTCCACCAGGGGGCGAATCGGCGAGGGGGGGGGGGGGTCGTACCCACCCCTCTCCTCGGCCGGCGCGTATGTAGAAAACCAATAGGTTCGGCGAGGGTTAAGCTTTTGAGCATTGAAGATGCGATAGACTTGTTCGGTCACAAGCCTGCCATGATCGTTAATGGCCTCATCGTAGATCGATTAGTTTCTGAGATATAACCGGAAATGTAAAAGAGCAAACCCTACCGCTTAATCTCGCGAGAGCCGTACCTAGTTATATAGATGCTGGCAACTTTGAATTCGTAGGTATGTGGTCTGTGGAGGCTGGTTGCCGCTTTGCAAGGATACATTTGTCGCCGTTTTATCCCTTCAAATACGGCACCCGGGCTATGCGTAACTCCATAGTTTCTTTTATCGTGTAATGGCACTGTTTTGTTTTGATTGGCCGCACGCGATCTCCAGACTCCCTTTGGGTCATCAGCCGATCATCAACAGGCGGCGGCCGCGGACCGATACAATCTTGGCGGCGAGCACGGCAAGCGGCATCGTGGGAGCTGTGCAAAGAAGCTGAACGATATAATGTTCTTTTAGTTCTAACCCACCGTTTAAACGAGTTAAAACCAAACTTATTTACATCGGAACATGATTTTTTGCTTTATCGGCTATCTGACTGACCTGGGGATAGGTTTCGTTTATCATCTATGCGCTACAGATTGGAAAGGATGGATCTGCTATGCCTCTTCCGTACGAGTCACATCAACCAAAAGACCACTGCGAATTATGGCGGTGCCCATTACACAAATTATAGCCACGCAGACGTTACATAGGCAATGCAATCATAAAGTCAACAAATGACGTCTAAACTGCGCACAAGCTATCTGAAATCGAACGTAGGCGAGTGCGCTAGTCATTCAGACGACAACCCCTCCCCTCCCTCCCCCTCCACACAACATACGTCACTGCGAGTGATGACGTATGGTGTGGGGTGACCATCGTTTCCGCCGCCGTTCAGACGGCGTGACAGCCCATTCTCGGGCCGAACACCGCCTACAATGATGTAGGTATGTCACTATCGGGTGCCGCAGAGGACTGTTTGTGTGTCTTACTACGCATGGCAGAAGGAAGACATACAAAAAGTCGTGACGTCGGTCGTCGGACGCGTCGAACCCGTAACAAATGCCTTCGCCGAACTCATAATATATGACTTGTTGGCGCTTGGCCATTTCCTGTCGGGCACAACCACGAGGGCCTCGGGTCAAACTGAAAGCGACTGTCAGAGAGCAATGGCCCCTCATTGAGTATTGAATGGGAAGTTTGCTCTCTGACGACGATGTTTGGTTTTCTTCGGTTATTTTTAAAACTCGTCGACGCAAGGGGTCGATACACCTCACTAGGCTTTTTTGCACGAATATCACTACTTTTCACGAATATCACCAGAGTACGAAGCCCGGGCCAACATTTCGCAATTTTTTGCATACATATTTCGAAACACAACATGAAGATATTGGGAAGTGGGGACCTATCACGTTAAGACATTATGCTCTTCCATATGTCTGGTCGTATTAGGACTAAATCAGAGACCATAGTCTTAGTGTCAACGGCTTCTCGTGAATATCAAAAGTCAAAACGCTCCCTTTTCCCGCACAGCTCTAAGCCAATCAGACGCCAAACTTGGTAATGGTTGTGACTAACTCCCACCATCCCTTTAACCGTCGAAGGGTGCTGAACGACCAATGAAATGCCTTCTACGGTCCACATTTTCTATCCTTTAACTTCCTGAAAACAGGACGGGTTGGCCTAGCGATATTCTTTTAAAAACCATCTAAAATGTTGATCAAGATTTCTGCATAATACATACAAGTCGGCTCTAATTTCCAGAAGAACATCTAATAAAATAATCGACTGATCCTGTGGTGACGACGCTGCGAATATTTGCGAGAGAACCGGAATACGCTCTGTCCATCTCGAATAAAAAATATCTAAATAGAAAACACTCACTCCTGTATTCCAAACAATATTGTAGAAAAACAAATATCACAACTGACCAGATCCCGTTGCCGCATCACTGCCAGCAATCGTGTCACGTGACCACAGCGCAGTGCCGCCTCAGGCAGCCGCTCGTATCAGGTGACAAGATCATACAGTGGCGCCCCTAGCGGCCGTCCGTGGAAGCAGTTACCGTCGAGGTCGGGCGTGTCGTGGACCAGCGAGTCTACCTCCTCACGGGACATGCGTGCTCCGCCGCCCTGAGAGATCCGTACCGCCTCCGCCTGTCGGGAACGGGGGTAAGGTCAGGTCATCGCTGCTCCACCCTCAACTAGTCGGGGTCAAGGGTCAGGGCAGGGCAGGATTACCGCTGCAAATCGGGGCCAGCCTGGCCCTGACTTGGCTTGAACTCACCCCCGAGGGGAGAGGTCAGGGTGACTGGTTGGGGTCAGGGAAGGATTTAAAATACTCCACTGCAGCCGGGGCGAGATGGCAATGGACAGCAACGGAAAGCAGGTGACGATTTCACTCGCTAATAAAAATCGCGTTTATTTGCCAACTGTACTGCTGCTGTTTGCAGCTATGACTTTTGCAGCTGTTTAAAATATGAATATTCACACCGATTGATTAGCAGCGGGAGACAACAATGCAATGAACCAACAGCAAAATAATACATTCCTGAAATGAAAAATGTGTCACATCGTGCTGAACTGAAGAGCGACTATAGGCGCCCTCCTGTCCCCTCCTATCCTACCCTATCATCCTATCCTATCCTACCTATGCCGACCCAGTCCCCACCGTGTCCCATTTCCATCTCACCCGCAGCCAGCTGACGGCCCTGGCAGGTCGGCTGTCCTCCACTGTCTCCGCTCCGTCCGCCACCTTCCTCAGCACCTCCGCCAGATCCGGGGCACCGTAAAACTCCATACAGTCGGTCACCGCCACCAGCCGCGCCGAATCACCGGCCACCTCAACACCAAACCCATTCGCCTCCAGGCGGACGTCCGAGACACGACTGCCATCTCGCGGCAGCGCGCAGAGTGTGGAGTGCGCAGCGGCGCCGAGCGCGGCGCTAGTGAGCGGCAGAGGCGGGGAGAGAGGTCGGCAGGGGAAATGGAAGGTGGACAGCAGGCGGGAGAGAGTGGCCATCTCCGAGAGGCGCAGAGGGTTCACCAGCACCAGCTGGGAGGAGCGGTACACCACCCAGGCGTGGTGCGACTCCACCGGCCCGATAACGCGCGGATCCCCCGCGGCCGCCCACCTGGAGTGGGGGCAGCACTGCGTCAGACTTCGTAGTTCACAAAATCGTCTTCAGATACGTCTTGTGATAGTTTCTATAAACACATTTCTCCGTATTCTACCTGAAGGTCCTAGAACATAGACGATACTACGTTTCCCAACAGATTCCCATTCGCACGCTACTCACCCATCAGGCCTCTTTCCCGCCTCCAGCCGTCGGATCTGCTCCTCCATGCCGCGCACCGACATGGTTTTTGAGTGCCTCCTGGGCCGGCTGGCCCTGGCCTCAGGGGTGAGAGGCGCTACCATCCGCCGGAGCGCAGTGTCCACCCGACAGAAGTCAGTGATTGTTCTCTGAGGGGTGCAGATCATTTCTGCCAGCTTTGCCTTCCTGGGGACGGTAGAGAAGACGCGTTTAACAATCCAGCTTCCATCGACCCTTTGCCCATGAATAAAAGACCGAGGCTTTGAGAAACACGTTGCACGCGAAAAAAACATTTGAACATTTAACCAGAGCCAGTCAGCTAAACAAAGGACACTCCCTCAGACGAGACACACTTTAGCCGGTCAGAACGTATTTACATGGCCCTACGGGAACGGCACACTCGTCGCCTGCCCTCCCCGCCATGACCCGTTCCTCACCTGACGTCCTCCTTGTACCGCTTCTCGTCCTCCCGCGCCATGTCCTCGAACTGCCGCCTGACGGAGGGAAGGGCAGCCTTCCAGCCGTCCGCCAGAGCCGCACTCAGCTTGCCGATGTCAATCGTCGGGTCCAGCGAAAGGTCTGAAAAGGGGAGGGCCAAGTTGGAACGAAGAAGATCGAAAAAAGCTCACTGACCAGACCCCTTTTGGTTTTTGTTAATGGTTATTTAATGTGATTGCCAAATTCGAAAACATTATTTTTATACCGTAAACATCTCGATTTTCGAACTAATCCATCCGATTTGAACTAAGTCCGTTACATGCACCTGCCCATAGGCGCATGCACCCCCTGCATGCACTCGCGGTCCCTGCACTCTGCAGCGTTTGGCGAGCTCACATTTGCGCCTCATGTCCTTGCAGTAGTAGTGGAAGGCGGTGCCGGCTCGACGCACCACCTGTGAGGCCACAGGCTCGTACTCGGGCTCCCCGGGCGCGGCGGGGCGAGGACGCTTCGCCGGCGGCGGCTTCGAGGCCGGGGCGGCAGGCTTGTCAGCACCACCGCCGCCTGCCGCCGGGGTGGCGTCAGGGCCAGTTCGACCGTTTGTGCCGCCCACAGTCGCAGCGGAGGTAGGGTTAGCCAGACCGTTGGCGGTGGGCAGAGGTCGATCGACGGAGCTGAAGGCCTCGCGAATGGACGGCTGGATCTTGGGCCGCTTGGTGGCTGGCTCCCCGTGTGCTGTTATCAGCTTTGTCGGCTGAGGGCAGGGGAGGAGAAGCGATCAGTTTGACGCAACAACGAGCTAGGGCATGCAAAGGTAGACTTCACCCGAACTATAGGAACTCGCATATGTGATCAAGAAAGCTAAGAAAATTTAGAGAACGCAATATAAAGAAATGAGAGAGGTTCGAAGAAGCTAGGTCAGAGTGGATGACGGATGTGATGGTGCCATTAGCGCGAACCATTGAACGTAATAACTAAAATTTACACCACTCTGCAGGCGTCCCATTACCCAACTCACCTCTATAACATCTCCCTGTGAGTCGAGAAGCCGGCCTGTAGCCCAGGCGTCCGGGCGGGCCCCGACGTACCTCTTCGGCCCGAAACTCTCCTCCGACGACGATCCCCCGTCTCCATCGGCAGGCAATGGACCCGTGTCCCCATCGCCACCGTCCACTCCGAGAAAATTGTCACCAAACAGGCTCTCAGACGAGCCCTCCCACTCGATGTCACCCAGCTCCGGCACACCGTCTCCCTCCGTTACGGGTCTGCTGGGCTGTGACGCGGCGGCCGTGACGGGGTGTGACTCTGCCGTCACAGGGTGGTGTGACTCTGCCGTCACGGAGTGCGTCACGGTCTCCACAGGAGCCGTCACAGGGTGTGTTACAGTTGCAGCTACGGGTTCTGTCATGTTCGTCATATCCCTCAGAGGATTTACGGCGTCCTTCATAGATACGCCTCTGTCATTGCTGACGGGTTTGTCCGCTTCTACTGGTGCCTCTCCGCACTTTTCGATACGGTTCTCCCCAACTGCAGTAACCGGTGGCGGGATCGGCGCAGCTACGGTGGGCTGAGGTGCGGCCACAGACGTGTTTCCTGGCATCGTTCCCGGAGCCATCGCTGAGCCGGGCTCCGCCTCTTGCGTCACCGTGACGAGAGGCCGGTCGGAGGAGTTTGCAGATGGGTCCGCTGCATGTTCGGAAACCTCCTGGTGGCGGTAAAACTCCGCCAGACCGGCCTCTAGGAGAGTCAACAGCTTCTCCTGTGAAAAGGGACAGCATTTAACTGGGAAGTCGAGGCGAGAGTTCGCGCATGACGGTTAATTTTGTACTGAATAAAGTTTTCTGAAGACAAATAAATATGTGCCAATATAACTAAAAATCAACGAACACTGCTGCTTCGTGATAACAACTAGCTCTAAAAAGTCAGAAAGTACTAAGTCTAGACCGTTTTAAAAAAGAAAGCATTTCATCCATGTCCCGGAAATATCTCCGATTCCCTGTCGCTACCTCACAGAGGAGCAGCAGCCGCGTCTTGTTGGGCTCCAGGTTGACATCCAGCTGGTCGGGCGGCACGGTGATCAGCACCACGGACACCGGCGTCCTGGCCGGACTCAGGCCGTGGAACGACGAAAACTGCTCCCGCAACAGCTGGAAAGTGGCGTGTGGAAGTAGTCAGAGGTCAGGAGCACGTGCTAGCTCTCAAACGTGAGACCCAGTAAACGTATCTGAGACCTGATCTGAGAGCTCGAAATAAAGTGTCATAATACACCATGCGCAGAAATGATGAAAACAGTATGGCACGTGGCACTGAAAACACTGATCCGCAAACTTCCACAATTCCACGAGTAGCGACAACTTTGCTCCAATTTGTCCTGTAACAATAAGTCTTACCTTTTCCACCTTCTTGAAGGTGACGACCCGGCCGTTAACGATGACGAAGCACTGGTCCCCAGTGGATCTCCCAGCGATCTTAGGAGATGTGTCCGGTGACGGGAGGAGAGCCTCTACCGATATCTGCAGACAGTAATTTCAGGACATAAGCGATACCGGTCAATAATGAGACGCACATCAACTTCTCATAGTACAGTCTCATAGTATCAACTTCTAATAAGCAGTGATAGTACTTTCCGTAATGCCGCACAGCGATATGTAGCGACTGGTGTTAGGATCAGAAGACGGGGAAAATGTCAGCTGTCTGGAACGTACCGTTTTATCTTTGAGCGACAGGGGCCGCAGCTGGCGGGCTGCCTCTGACTTCAGCACCTGGAGGGCCGCCGACCGGTTCGAGTCGCACGGCGCCTGGAGGAGAACGGTCACGTTAATCACTAAACGATACAAAAAAAGCTGAATTGTAAAAAAGTGGCGGTGAGAATGTGAACATTTGAGCTTACCCTTGATAAATCATGATACAGTTGTGTTACATTCGATCGAATATCGTTCGAATGCTTCAAACAAGTAGAATTACAATTCAGAACTACTAATGAACAAAACTCGTTGAGCCACTGTGTAGCCCTGCATAGCCCCACTCAGGATAATCAAATAAAACAGCGTGTTCCCGAACCCACATACTCAGAAGAGGCTCAAGCTCGACGTCTCGCAAGACGATAGCGCTTTTCTTCATCCACTGAATCATATACCTCTGTATACAGAGGTCTATGGCTGAATATTTGGCAGCACTGCTCGAAATCCACCACTCTCCTCCACCCTCAACCACCCTCAGTCTGCCTTGTCATCCCCGTCCTCCCGTTTCCTTCGGGTACCTCGATGCGCCCATCACAGCGCCGCCTACCTTATTAATCAGCTGGCAGCCGTTATGGTGGAGCGCCAGTCTCAGGGCCGGGCGGCTGACGGCGATGGCCGAGAGGAGGGCTTCCACAGCGCGCAGGTCCTCCTTCCGCTTCCTGGCGCTGCCGTACAGCTGGCGCCGCACCGGCTGACGGCTGAACAGCGACGACGCCGTCACCGTGGTGCCTGTGGCGCAGGGACGTGTCAGTGACTCGTGGTTCGTGACCCTGCGGGCTGGGCGTTCAGGGTTGGTGGATTGAGACAGGATTTATCGCTTTTATCGCTGAGATTGTGGATGGAAAACGAAAATTAATGACAACTGAGTTCATCAAAACAAATACAGAATATAGAGCAATAGAATGGTGACGAACTGGTAAATGAGCAATGCCGATGGTCAGACGGCTTATTTACAATCCCTTGCTTCTCGCGCATTACATATCCATCATTTTTCCAACCTGATGAAATGAAAGGTTAGCCATTATCCCTCGGTCTCGGACTCTTCCTAGCCCATCCATCCCGTCTCCACACCTCCCCTGGTCCCAGTCCTCACCCTGTGCGCGCGCCACCGGTCTCTGCGCCGTGATTGCACCGCTGGCGTCCAGCGTCACCAGTCGGCCGGCCTGTTCGGCCGCCGTGCGAGTGGCCACCGTCACCTGACAGCAGGCGCACACCGCCGACAGCGCCTCGCCGCGGAACCCGAACGAGCCCAGCGAGCCTGACAGAGAGGAATTGTGGCATTAATTCGTGCAAAAGTATTGGGTAAGACTGGTTCCGGCGCTTGTCATTGCTTTGATTTACTTTACTTTGCTCTTGGCTCTTGTTGGCTCTTGTTGGCTCTTGTTGAAAACGTAGATATGTACAAAACCGTATATTCACTTATCACAATTTATTAGATGACTGGACAGTGCACTGGCAGTTGTGCAATGCGCATCTTACCCATGTCATTCAGGTCCTGTATTTTCGATGTGTAATGGGCCTGGGCCATCACAGCCGTGTCCTCGGGAGCCAGGCCACTGCCGTTGTCTCGTACCTCGATCTTTTCCAATCCATAGTCATCCTGAAACACGTTTTATATCAATGACAGTAAAACAAAATGAGCATTTTTTGGTATTCTTAAGAGATGGGAGGGAAAGGCTAAAATTCAGCTAACAATACGCTTAGTACGGTCCGCAGCTGTCCCATAATTCAGCATTTACCACGCTCATTGCGAACAAAGTGGCACCAATCGATTCAGCAATCAGCATGTCATTTCAATTTTCAAAATGAAGGCGGAAGGCACACGTAGCCTAGTGATAGCGACCCTTCAAAATCTAACAAACAGCATTGCCTGTGTGGATACTGGATCATCCAATAACTCACCACCCACCGAGCCGCTGTCTGGGACCGCGAGCGGCCAACTAACCCTCGCACTTATAGGGAAGGTCGAACGGACCCCCTCGTTTTTTTTTCGCGAATAACTCACACAAGAAGCGGCCGATCGCGACGAAACTTTCAGTCCCCCCCCCGACATCATCACTTCTTCACCTATCCTGAACATGTCATGATCCTGACCAAAATGAGCTTTGACCTGTTATGTGATCTGTTTCTCGAGACCGTCAGGTCGTAATAACGATTCCGCGTATGTCAGCGCATATTATCCGTGCCTTCCCAGTTTTTTTTTGTGGTTGTAAGCGCATCAACATATGAGTTAAGCTTTCATGAGTTACCTATGACTACCAGGGCTGCGGAGTCAATGGATTTTAGGGTGACTCCGACTCCGATTCCGACTCCAACTCCGACTCTGGACCGTTCTATTAAAATCCATATGATATTGAAGTTCATAATGTTTTTATCTTGCCTGAAACGATCCCTTGTACGTTCCAAGTCTTTGTGTTGCAATATGCATATGAATTAAAAATAGCATGCAGAATTAAAGCAGGCTCTGGGGAATTCACCGACCTGTGCTTCTTTCGCTGAAAACGTTCGTCCAAAACAGAAAAATAGCCTTTTTTTCGATAATATCTAATTTCGAGTGCAGTATCGTCAATCAAACAGGTTCAGTGAATGACGTTGAGCCATACAGCGTTAACTCCTACTCGGGAGTAGGAGTCGGTAAGGTTTTAGCGACTCCGACTCCGACTCCAGGCAGAACTGTCGACTCCGACCGACTCCAACTCCGACACCGACTCCGCAGCCCTGATGCCTGCTACTGGTTGACCTTACCTGACCCTACCTGCCCCAAATGCATGAATACAGCATCGTTGATCAAAACTAACATGAAATACGTAATCAGGACCCCAAAATCCCCATAACGCCTCACTTAACGATGTTTCAGCAGGTCCCGATTTTCCCGACTGATTTATTGACCCGAGACCCCCGAAGGTAAACCAATGACCGAGGACTTAAAAAATCGGTATCATCCACTTTCTCTCGTCACGGGCAGCATGCTCTTTTTCCCACAACGCTATAGCTCGATCAGGGCATAGAACGACTGTGAGGGGTCCAACGGAGCCCCCCCCCCCCCCGCTCATACGTAAGATGCTGCAAACAGGTCAATACGGGCGAGACTGAGAGTTAAAGGGACCCTCCCACCTTCAAAAAAGTTAATGAATTGGCACGAAAGTGATGTCGCTCGGTTCAGAAAGAGCGAAAACGAATATATACCAAATTTCATCGAAAAATATTCACCGGTTTTCAAGATATTAGACTTTTACTTTTGTTTACTTTTTGGGATCTCCGCTGTTCCTAGCGACTTTATTTGAAAGTGCGGCATTTGTTGCGCGCAAAGCAGGGCCCTGTTCAAGTGTCTGCGGCCGCCGCGGCTCCCGCGGCCAAAAAGGCGGAGCTTAGCAGGCGGCCAATCAGGCGAGAGCAGCATTCTGGGTAATGCGTAGCTCTTCCTGCGGCTCCCGCGGTCGCTCGGGAGCGACCGCAGGGAAACTTCGACATAAACTGCGCGCGTGAGACAAAACATTGCGGATTTCGTTCTTTGTTTCGGTTGATTTTATTATGTTATTAAGGAATAATTGCTTTAAAAAGGCACTTATTGAAGTAATAAAGCCATTATAAAGCAATTACGCACACAATGGGGATGTTCGGCTTATTTCCTCACCAGGTGGCAGCACTGCCTTCTTTGGACACAGAAACTGTGGCGGCGGCGAATGCGCCACTGTGTTTTGCACTGTGTGGAGTCCGTGCGGTGTCGGTCCGAGGGACTGAATTTCGGTGAATTTGATAGCAATTGATTTGAATTTTGCTCAGATGGGTTGTGAATTTATATTCGGCAAGTGTCACAAACATGGAAAGGCAAGTTTACAAAGGACAGGAGGCTTAGAAAGGCTTCAATTGACGTAGCCGAAGAGAGGCGAGAAGCCGAAGATAGACCGACTCCAAACGGTAATTCCATCGATGTAACCCGTTTCCCGACATTTTTTTTATGGCGAGCATAACTAAGAGCATAAAATAATATAACTTAACTCATAGCTTTATCTTGTATTGCCCATATGAAGTAATTTACTTGTATAAGTTTATGGGCATATCAATGTAGGAAATTGACCTGCCCTTTGAGAACAAGGAAGGCATTAAAAGATGATACATGCTGCTGAGAATGATGATATAAATTCAATGCATTTTTATAAGATTCATTGCAAGCATTTTAGCAGTGTTCTTCTTTGTCTGGTACCAAAGATATTGCATGCAGATAAAGGTTATGATGGAAAAAGACAAAATGATCTATTTTGACACCAGCAACCAGGAGGTATATGTAATAGAACACTAAGCTACCTACTATTTATGAATTGTTACAAGTATTGATCATCCTACATGGTGTTACAGGTGCCCAGTGCAATCATGCTTCTGGTGCGGAGTTGTCAGGATGGAGTCGGAGGAATCAAGGAAGGCAGAGGACCTGCGTATGAAGGAACCAGCCCTGCGGATGAAGTTCTGAGGTACATACAGAGTGATCCCACTGAAAGACCAGGTAGGAGTTGGTGAACAGCTTGTGCACTGCAGTATATCATCCAGAAGTAACTGATAGCCTTTCTTGCAAAATGTTTTTTTTTAACTCATCACCACCCAAAGCTACTCATTATTGATATAATATCTTCATTTCATCAGGTAAAAATTGTTTACTCTAAGTTTTGATTCACACTGAAGTGAACACTTTTTTAGAATATTCCTCAGCTTTTTAGCAACTAAATACGGGCAAGTTGTTTGCTGTTTTTTAAAATAAATTTTCACCTTCTGGAATATTTGTATAGGTAACTGCAATAAAAGTGCATTTCAAAATTGCAAATACTTTGTGAAAAGTTCATGGGTCTTGATGATGTCACTGTATCCAGTTCATCATATCAGATTTCAACTGTGCTTAAACTGCAATGTTTTGCTGATTGCTTCAGTATATAATGTCCTTTTATCCATGCATGTTAAACATATGTATCTCATTATGACTTGCCAAGATCTTTCCCTACTGTCTTATGCCATTTTTCATTTATTCACAGGTGCGATGCTGCATTGATAAGATCCAGATTCAAGAGCATGGATGCTACCAGGTCCTGTGATCTGAAGTTACCAGTGTCACTGCTGCTACAAATGACATCAGCAACACTTCCTTTGGTGAAAGTTTAGAGGAGCAAACAGTTGGTGCTCTGTGTAGTCAAGCAGTGGAGTTTTGCTACAATCATAAAGTTGATTAAGGTGTCAATTTTTGCTCTGGCTTCTGGGACTGCATTGCAACCTATGCTAGTGTTCAACATTTCGTGTCCTAGTATCACTGATGCATAGTGTGTTGCATCATACACAAATGAGAGGCAGCAAACTGTCAGGTATTTTCTAGTGATAAAGAACTGCATGCCTTAAGCAATTGTTGAAGGTGACAAGTGGTGAATGGTAGGGCTCAGCCACTCAATTCCTTCCTTCAAAAGCTATCAATCAGCTCTAGAAGAGTAGTCATAGCAATGCTTCATATGTGAAGGCTACTTGCCTAAACAGAACATTGTGGATTTGTTAAGTACCCCTTTATTACAAGTTTGTGCCCATTACAAGCCAAGCTTAGTTTACTTAGTTTGTTGCAAGTTTTCCAGGCAGCTTTCACACTTGTGTCGCTAAATATTAAACTTTAACTGATAGACCGACGAGATATTGTCCATTTCGCATCATATTGTAATCAGTCAGTCGTGTTGGTAGTAGGTACAGTCTGTCTTAAAAGTACCGCGCAAAGTGACGGTGGATCCATCAAGCCTGACCGAGGAAGGGCCTGCTATAATTTGAAAGTCACCGAACCAATGGACCTTGGGAACGGACGAGGATGTCATATAGAGCCACGCAGAAATCGCCGGTGATTCGTTGCCCATCATTACAGAATGAACGCATGCCGGATGAAGGGTTTAGTCAATAGTCTGTACAAACTACAGGGATGTGATTGACTTATCTGACAGTGACGAGCGCTACAGGTCAACTTAAGACCGTAGGTATGCGTTCTTGTCATGTAATGTGTGCTGTAAATCGATTTTTCATGCGTGTGAATATATGTCTGAATGTAATAAGGTTTTTAATTTTAACTGTGTAAGTTAAATTATGTGATAACATCGTATCATTCGTACTCCGTAGCTTTTGGTGACCACTCGATCGGCTCCCTTTCCTTCCGCTCTATGACGATGTAGTAGTTTGCCTTCCACACGCGTCATTGTCTTCCTAATATCGAAATCAACTGTAGCTACTCATTTTAGCAAAATGATGAACCTGAAAAAGACATGAAACGAAGTTCCCGTTCGGGGCGCGTCGGCCGCCGTCGCCGCCCGCAGTGTTATCCCCGGCCCGGCCGGCGCCCGGCCGGCGCGCTGTGTCCAAAGCATACGGTGCTGCCACCTGGCGAGACTTTTCGGAACTCTTAGCGCGAACATCCCCATTTTGATCAGCATCTCCTTTCAAAACAACCGTGCCATTCTCGTCGCTGGCCGCAGCGGCCGCAGCCGCGAGGGTGTTCAACCTAACCGAAATTAGGCTCCGCCTCCCGGCCGCGGCGGCCGCAGAGCACTTGAACAGGGCTCTGTATATACCACCGCGTGCTACCAAACGTTTTAGTAAAAGATTTAAAAATCGTTAGATCTCCGCTGACGTCACAAATTCTAAGGGGGCATACCAATGCACTAGCCCCTTAGAATCCGAAAACTGCAAGTTTGAAATTCCATATCTCCGAATTAAAGCATTTGTCGATGTTGTGAGTGCCCAAACCGGTATTTGCAGGCCATGGCCACCTATTTGGCTATCTCAACTCAAAACTAATGTTAAGGTGGGAGTGTCCCTTTAAACCGAGACAGTGGGCTGCCGACTAAATGCAGACAGCAGCCACAAACTGAGTCCACAGAGACACTGCAGCCTGTCTCGGTGGGTTTAGCGGCCCAACACCCTGATGAATTCAGTTTGAGGTACCTGCTGTCTTGGCTGTTTTTGTTGGTGTGCATCTCAGTCTTCACTCTTTAAAATGGGGATAGGAAAAACAAGTGACTGATAAGTGATAAGATAGGTGCATTTTGAAGGAAATGCAGAACCAGTTACCTTAAGTTTTTTTTAGGAATGGGGCTCAGCTTTGCCTAAAACATCAGTCCTGTGTGTAATCACTCCTTACCAAACGAACATCAACAGATGAGGCACCCGCATCCAGAGCATTTTCGACCAGTTCCTTCACCACGCTGAACACAGATGTCACAACTTGCCCTATAGACAAGCTGTGTGAGGTTTTAGCTGACAGCTGATGTATGGAGGCCATCCTGAGAACAAATAGTGGTCTTGGTCATAATGCAATCACAGTCCACACATGATACAACGGCATCTTCAAATAGCACTTAGCAGGAGCAACACAAAATAAAAAAAAAACAAATCAGAGACAAGCTGTTGAAATAGAAATACTTTTTTCAATAGGTAACCATTTGTTTTCTGTCTCAGCTCAGCTTCCTGCTTGAGTAGTAGGTAATACCCTACCGGGCCTACATTCAAGCATTCAAAACAGCGTGGACCTCAGCTTGAGCTCAAGTATCGCTAACATTTACCTATCTAACGCAACGGAAGCAATAAGGTATTCACTGCATCCCATCCAAAATACAGGCATAGGCGGCGGAACGGGGAGGGCACCGGGGCACCGTGCCCTCCTTTAATTTTGGCATTTTAACATTAGCCCTATGGGCGTTGCATGGAAAGAATTTGAATGGGACCAGAAGTTGAAGTCGGCAGTGCCCCCCTTAATTCAAATCGAAGGCGTGTCCGGACAAAATTTCGTCTGACATTTTTTCGTCGGATAGTTTTTCGTCCGCAGATTTTCGTCCGACTTTTTTTCGTCTCGCATTTTTTCGTCTGTACATTTTTTCGTCTGTGCATTTTTTCGTCTGTACAGTTTTTGATCTGTACATTTTTTCGTCCGGACATTTTTTCGTTCGTATATTTTTTCGTCTGTACATATTTTCGTCCGGACATTTTTTCGTTCAATAAATTTTACGTCTGTGCACCCAAGGTGCACAGACGTAAAAATTGTAGTATGTAATACTACAATTGTAGTAAATAAAAAAATGTAATTGTAGTAAATAAAAAAATTGTAGTATGAGTGAAAACATACTACAATGCTATTCAACTGTGAGGCAAATGACGTCATAATAATACTCTGGGCGAAGCAGTGCAGTGCCGAAGGCAATGCCTTAGGAGAGATTACAGGCAATGGTAAGTCAAATATTTTTAGGTTAAGTGGTTGTGTATCTGGCTTCAAGCCGAAGGCCTGAAGCCTGATGCATAACCACTTAACCTAAAAATATTTGACTTACCATTGCTTGCAATCTATTCATGCAAGTAACTTTTTCCTTATCCCCCAGTAGGCAAACATCATTAGGTAAGGTTAGGTTAGGTTAGGTTAGGTTAGGTTAGGTTAGGTTAGGTTAACCCTCGCCGGACCTATTGGTTTTCTACATACGCGCCGGCCGAGGGGGGCGGGTACGACCCCCCCCCCTCGCCGTTTCGCCCCTGGTGGAGCTAGCGCGTCGCGGAAAAAAACGAGCGTGTGCGCCGTTACGAGACGCAGAGATTGGTACCCGATTTTAAGGTCCTAGGTCAACCGGTGACCTCTGAGGTCAGGTCAAGTGCCCCAGGGTACGGTTCAGTTTTTGGTGAATAACTTCGCAAAAAACGGCCGCAGAGCCGCGATTTTGGCAGCATCGTGTTCACCTCGCTCAGGCGCGTCGAATGATATACTTTTTGTTCGGGTCAGGTCAACTTAGGGTGTTGACCTCAGGTCAAGGTCAGGTCAGCACCCCCAGGTCATGAAGTTGGTCGAAAGAGGTCATGTCGCATATCATTCGATCCGGCAGGTCTTCCTGAGTCTATTGGTGGCTTTCTCGACTCGCTAGCTCAATTTGATCGGGAGTTATTGACGAAAAACTAATATGACCTTGATGACGTCATAAATGACGTCACGGAAGGTCAACATTGCAAAAGTGACGCATCTAACCTTGCAAGGAGTGCATCAAATCACGATTCTGTGTGCTTGAGATAGTTGGAGATCGTTCCCTGCGCCAGAATAGCAGTTTGAATTTTTCCCCATTGACTTATAATGGTGAGGTCACGAAAATGACCTGACCTCATATGACCTTTAGGAAAAATCCGAGATATACAAGTTGTGAGACTCATAATGGATACTAGATCCTGGAAGTTTCATTTCCCTGTGACATCTCCTCTGGCAGTGAGGGCGTTGCGAAGTTGCGACATCTGAAGACCGTGCAGAGGTTCACTTATGACGTCATAGGTCAGTGACCTGACCTGACCCAAAAATGCGGTTGGTGTCAAAAGATGCGGCTTGGATCAAAGGTCAGGTATGCCAAGTTTCAGCTTTCTATCGCCAGCGTGTTCGGAGCTATCGCGAAAAAACCCTATGGGGGGGCGGCACCCGCCCCCCCTCGGCCGGCGAGGGTTAAGTTAAGTTAAGTTAAGTTAGGTAAGGTTAGGTTAGGTTAGGTTAGGTTACGTTAAAATTGTAGACGAAAAAATGTCCGGACGAAAAAACGCACAGACGAAAAAATATACGAACGAAAAAATGTCCGGACGAAAAAATGTACAGACGAAAAAATGTACAGACGAAAAAATGCACAGACGAAAAAATGTACAGACGAAAAAATGCGAGACGAAAAAAAGTCGGACGAAAATCTGCGGACGAAAAATTGTCCGACGAAAATCTGCTGGACGAAAAACCGTCATGGAATCAATTGAAGGTGTTCAGCCGCTACTGACTACAGGTCGCCTGGGCCCACGGTATATAGAGAACTTCTGGGCCCTTATCTTGAGACCAATAAATAGTACAGCACCCTACCCCATTCAGGGCTGGAGAAATGATTTCAGAGGTGGGGGGGACTAGGCCTCGAGGGGCCCTCAAGGAAAAGGGCCCCAAGTGTCTCAAAGGGCCCAAAATCATATTACCTTCCAAGGGCGGATCTAGGGAAACGTTTGGGAGGGGGTCACAAGTCGGCCGACATGCCGGGTCTGATGGATGAATTCTGACGACCGGGGGGGGGGGGGGGGGGTAGGGAGCGAGTATGTCGAGATCAAGTGACATTTGATCTTCGTCGTTTCTAAGATGAAGTTTTATCATTATTAGTCACTCGGCTCAGTAGTTTCAGTTAGTGAAACCCACCTATACAGGGGCGTCGCTACGGATTTTTTACTGGGGGGGGGGGGGGGATCGACGTACTTAAAAACCCAAAAGTACATAGGTAGATATAGTTACCTCACTTTTAGCCTAATGCAATAGTAGCATATAGTCATGATCTCTCTTATTGACCTGTTTAGGAATCGGCGGCGCGAAGCGCCGCAAAAATTTGCAAAAAAAAATTGTAAAAGCACAGCTCTAAAACACAAACATTACAACCCTTATAGCATGCTAGTACAAGCCGGAGTTCCTTCACAGTACACATATGAATTCCGATTCAACTTGACACGGTTGATGTTATTACAGTCACGATCTCTGATTGATTGGTGTATGGCGCCGAGAAAATTTGCAAAAGTATTTGTCAAAACACAGCTCCAAAACACAATTTTTACCACCCTTTGAGCATGGCAGTACAAAAACCGGAGTTCCTTCACAGTTACACATATGAGTTCTAATTCAATTTGTCACGGTTGATTGGTGTAATTACAGTCATGATTTCGTATTGACCTGTACGTACATGAATCGGCGGCGCGAAGCGCCGCGAAAAATTTGCAAAAAGATTTGTCAAAACACAGAGGGGGCGGCCTCCTCTCTACAGAGGACCACCTCTCTACTGCGGGCCTCCTCTTTTCGCAAGGCCTCTTAACTACAGAAGGCCTCCTCTCTACAGAGGTCTTCCTCTCTACCGAGGGTCTCTCCCTTTCAGAGGGCCTCCTTTACAGAGGGCCTCCTCTCTTCAAAGAACCTCCTCTCTACAGAGGACCTCATCTCTGCAAAGGGCCTCCTCTCTTCAGAGGGCCTCCTCTCCACTGAGGCGCGAGTCCTCCTCTCTACAGAGGGCCTCCTCTCTACTGAGGAAGTCCTCCTCTCTACAGAGGGCCTCCTCTCTACAGCGGGTCTCCTCTCTACAGCGGGTCTCCTCTCTTCAGAGGGCCTTCTGCTTTCAGGCGGTCTCCTTTCCACAGAGGGCCTCCTCTCTATACAGGGCCTCCTCTCTACATACAGGGTGTCTCAAAAGTTCGTTCACAGGTACCAGCCATGCTTTTTTGTCAATAATTCTGAATCAACAAGAAATTAACAGCCGAAATTTTGCATGGGCATTGGTGACAACCATCCTCAAGCAGTCTCATTTTTTCAAGTGCATTCGACCCTTCATGAGCTCACAAAAAGGGTTCACCTCTGACCATGGGTCAGGCACGAAAATGTAGGTTGCAAAGTCGGGTATGTTGTGAAACTCTCTGTTTCAGGAGTACTGGGAATGGTTAAGTCGGAAATGACACATGGCTAAGTGTCGGCGAGGATGAGTGCAACATGATGATCATCTCATAAAAACGGTGGCTAAAATTTTTGAAGGACGAAACCATGCGAGACTAGCGGCGTTTTGAACGACCCTCGCACGACAGCAGACTCGTGTTCCGGAAAGCAGCTGAAAATGCGGTCATAACTATTGAAAACTGGCAAGAAGGTCACAGACAGAGGTTACCCATTTTCAAAAAGTGCAGGTCATCGTGAAATAAAGACAAATTATAATTTAAAATTGTTTATAATATCTATAACGCTAATTTTTGGGGACAATAACACAAAAATCGTCAATGCCAAGGACACCTGACCCTCCAAAAGTGTCAGTTATTGTAAAATTTTATCTAACGAAGTTTCAAGAGGCAGATCTGCAGCGAATAATTTTCTTTTAAACACAAAATCCCGATAAAACCACACGATGGACAGGTTTGGGCCGTTTACAAAGCAGAACATCTCCCGAGGAAAACACTCCGCAACCGAGCGAAGGTCTTGGCATGGGGAATGACGAGCGCTTGGAATTTGCAAAATTTGCATAATGTGTCTGAGAAACAGACGTCCGACACATTCTGCTACCATATGATGCGAAAAATTTACTCCTGGTACTTCCCGTTTGTTCAGGACTGGGGTCGTTTTGAAAAGGAAAATGGCGCTTGGGATGTCGGCGCCAGTCATTCATGAAGGAGTTAGCGCCAGAGAATGCCTACAAAATACTCAAGAATGGTGTCGATGCAAGCTGTCGGCTTTCAGGGAAAATCAGATGTTGCCGGGGAGCTAGTCAAAACTAAATCC